CCCAACTTGTTTCTCAGATCTAAAAGACCTCTGGTGGGCATGTTGGGTACTGCTTGTAAAGAATCCAACAAAAAGGAATAATTTGACTTCATTTTCCTATTTATATCCTTTTTCTTTCTCTTTGCTGACCTGACTACAATTTCAAGCTCTATATTGAATAGGAGCAATGACAATAGATACTCTATTCTCCTCCAAGTCCTTAGAGAAAATTCTTTTTGTCACCCCCCATTTAATATGATGCTTGCTGTGAGTCTGTCATGTGTGGCTTTTGTCATCCTGAAGTAAGGTTACTTTGATACCCATTTGTGATGGAATTTTTAGGGTAAAGGAGTGAGTGCTGGATTTTGTCAAAGTCTTTTCCAACATGCACTGAAATAATCATAAGATTTTTATTGTTGATTCTATTTATGTGATACATTATATTTACTGATTTACACATGTTGAACCATTCTTGCATTCTTGAGATAAAATCAACTTGATCTTGATAGATGATTTATTTAATGGGTTATTATATTCTGCCAGTGAGGGCCTAATTGAGGATTTTTACACCTATGTACATGAAGCATTCTGGTCTGTAGCTTTTCCATTTTTGTTGAGCCATTATCTGGTTTTGGTATTAGGGTAATGCTGCTGTCATAGAATGACTTTGGGAGAAAACATGTACTTTCCATTTCATGGAAAAATTGGGGGAAGCATTGGTGTTAGTTCAATGCTAAAGGCCTGATGTTATTCAGCTACAAATCCATCTGATCCAAAGTTTTTCCTAATTGGAATTGTTTCATACTACTTCAAGCTCATCACTTGTTATTGAGAAGTTTAGGTTTTGTATATATTCTTGGTTCATCTTAGGTACTTCATATGTGTCTAGGAATTTAACTATATTTTACAGATTCTCTAAGTTGTTGGAACATAAATTATGAAAGTCACTTATGATGATCCTCTGTATTTCAATGCTGTCTGCTGTAATTTCAAATTTTTATTTCTAATTTTCTTATTTTGGGCATTGTCTCTCTTTTGGTAGATTTTGCTAAAGGTTTGTCAACATTCTTATTCTTTCAGAGAAATAAGTTCTTGGTTTGCAGATTCTGATTTTTTAAAGTTTTAATCCAATTTACTTCTATAATTCTTGTAATTTTGTTTGTTCTGCTGGATTGAGATTTGGTTTATTCTTTCTTTTCTAGGAACCTGAGATGCACAATTAGGTTATTTACTGGTCCTTGCTCTATTTGTCTAATGTAGGCACTCATAACTATAAACATCCCTCTTAGCACATTCACAATTTCTCATATGTAGTATTTCCAGAACAATTTGCTACTAGGAACTTTTAAATTTCTCCAGATTTCTTCAGTAACATAATGATCATGTAAGAGGTTATTATTTTATTTTTATGTTTTCATAGTTTCTGTGGCTTGTTTTGCTGTTGATTTCTAGTTTTATTTGATGGTGATCTTATAGAATGTTTGAGATTATTTCAAAGGTATTATATTTACTAATATTTTTTCTTCTTTATTTTAAAGATAAAAGAATGAAAACATATTAACAAACACAAAGATGTAAACGAAACAACATAAAAACAATAAAAGCATTACAGAATTTCAGACAAGGTGATGGGAAGTTAACAATGGCTCTTGTATTACATATTGTTATCTTCAAATTGGTTACTCAGATAAACAAATATAGGCATGTAAGATGAATCAAACAATTAAACATTAACCATTCCTTTCAGTAAACCAATAGAAATTAGTACTACAATTCTCTTAGATATCTTTTGTATGCATATATATTTTTCCCTTCTTTTTCTCTTTTCTCTCATCCCAGTTGTTCTATCTTTTTGAGCAGTTTATTTCCCTTTAATAATATCTATTGTACTTTTTAGATTTTACTTACTTTTTCAGTTCTTACACTAGGAAGTGTCTTGGTTACTTTTCTCTCATTGCTGAGACAAAATACCCAGCACCCAAAATTAAGGAAGGAAAGGCTTGTTTACCTCACAGTTTGTGGAGGTTTCAGTTGGCTGGTTCCAAGGCATAGTGGCACATGGCAGAGGGCTACAGTTCCTGGTGGCAGAAAGCAGCAAAAGCACCAAGAGCAAAAGGAAGGAATGGCAGCAAGCAGCCTCTTTCTTTCCCTTACATATGCAAACTATCTGCCCCAGGGCATGTGTAGCACTCACACCCATGAATCAATCATAAACTCTAAAAGTCTGCCCCATGACTGCATGAGGCTTTCGGAGGACATCCAGAACCAGACCATAACAGGGAGACAATAAAATGTTCACACATGTGAGTCTGATTTATTTCACTTATGAGTATGGTCTCTAAAATGTGGTCTGTTTTGAGAAGGTTCTGGAGCATGTTGAAAAGAGAATGTATTCTATTGATGTTTGATGAAATACTCTACATACCAGTTAAGCCCATTTGATCTACAGTGTAGTTTATTTCCAATGTTTCATTGTTGATTGTTTTTTGCTTCACTTATTTATGATAGTGGCTTGCTGAAATTGGCCACTGTGATTGTACTGGAACCTCTGTCATTTTATGTCTCATAGTGCTGGATTTTGGCATGCTGATATTTATGATTGTTACCTCTTCCTGATGGGTCATTTCCTTTACTAGGATGTAGTGTCTTTTTTCATCTACTCTGGCCAGTTTTGGATTAACATCTACCTCATCAGATATGAATGTAGCTACCCCTTCTTACTTTTGAGGTGCTATGCTTTAAAATTTCATTTTCCATGCTTTTACCTTAGTGTACTTCGTGCAAACAACATATGGACGGACCTTGTGTTTGGATCCAATTTTACAGTCTGTCTTTTAGTTAGAGTTACAATTATTAACATTGAATATTACTGTATTATTGAAAGCTGTGTACAAGTTCTTGTCACTTTCCTGTTTTCCTTGTGTTTGATTCCTTTCTATTATTTATTCTTTTATCATTTCTTTCATTGAGGTTAATTTTTCCCCTTTGTCTCTCAACTGTTGTCTTTTGATTTGTATTGAGGATTCCCTTAAGTATTTCCAGCAATGCTAGCACGGTAAACAAGAATTTGTCTAGTTTATATCTATCATGGAAGGTCTTTATTTTCCCTTTGATTTTGAAGGATTCTTTGCAGGACACAGTCATCTGGGTTAGCAATTAGTTTCTTTGTTAAGTCTTGAAAAATTTCATTGCAAATCTTCCTTACCCTTAAGTTTTCTTGTGAGAAATCTATTGTTCTTCTGATAGAGTTGACCTAATGAATGATTTGGTACTTCTCTTAACAGCTTCTAATATTGTTTTGTTGTTGTTCCCAACTTCTGGTATTTTGACTGTGGTGTGTTATGGAGAGGCTCTCTCCTGGTTGTGTCTATGTGTGGTTCTAAATGTATCCTTTCACAGGTATTAGTGACAATTCCCAACTTTAGGAAAATTTCTACTGTAATTTCATTGAATATATATCTTTAATCAGTTCTCCTTTATTTCGCACCTTATTCTGGGCCAACAGACTCTAAGTTCATTCTTTTAGATTTATGCAGGAAGTCTTTGTAGTTGGATCAGTGCTGCTCGTTCCTTTTTTCTTCCACCCTTACTGTGTGTTCTAGCACTTCTATCCTATTTGTGGCCCCAGATATTCTATCTTCTGACTGACCTTGTCTACTATCTACACTTTCAATGGAGATTTTTATTTAGTTTATTGTTTTCAACTTCAAGATTTCTATTTGGTTCTTTTTGAAAACTTCTGTTGCTTACTGAAAGTCTTTTAAATTCTGCATTATCTTTAACTAATTTAATTGCTTTTCATACCTTCTTTGAGTTCATTGGTCAATGTAGTTATTAGTTTGTTCAACTATTTATCTGTCTATTGATCATACTGGCCATTCTGATTATCAATTTTTAAACTTTTGTCTCTAATTTCATCTACTTTATCATATTTGGTATTAGTTTTTGCAGAGCTGTGTATTTGTGCAGGTATCTTGTTGCCTTCTTTTCTCATTTTAGTTCTATCTCTGTGTTGAAGTTTGGAATTCAGTTTGGCAACATATTTCTTCTGCTGAACTGGAGGGGTTGTAAGTGGTTAGCTCTTCCTGATGTGCCCCGTATTATAGGTACAGCTCCTCAGGAATGTTTCCACTCCTCTTTTTCTGGATACTCCTAACACTGCTGGACAGAGTCTAAACATTTTTGGAATTGCTAAAATCCAAGATGGAGATATTTCATTAAAAAGTGCCCTATCTATTAATCCCAAAAGATGTGATGTGTTGCTAATAGTGTACTGGGACCGAAGTGACTAGTCCTCTTATGTACCTAGGAGATCCTATGTATGATTCTTCTTGTTGCTGTCAAAGTTGCCTCCTCTCCTATGTGAAGTGACCCTGAGAGTCTATCAGCCCATAGCTGAGCCTGAGAGCTTGTTCTTTACCTATCAAGGCCCATGCCTAGAATGTACTTCAAGAAAGTACAACTGAGCAGTAAAAGTTTAACTTATCAGTAGGTTTTAAAGAATCTTTTACAAATTATGAAAAGCATTCAATGGACTTCCCATACTGCACAAGTTTAACTCATCATAGAACTTAACTTTCACCCTGAAGAGGAGTAAATCCAACAAAAATCCACCTCTGTTCTGGTTAATAAACAGAATTTCTCTAATGCTAACACAAAATGCAAGCAGATAATCTAGCATTTTTATGAAGGAAATTGGCAATCATAATTCTGTTTTTTGAGTTTCTAGTTTATGAAGGTTTAGTAATATGTCAAAAGAACTGTACTTATAAAAGCTAATCAATAAGGACATATTAACTAAATCACAAAAACTACATTAGAACAGAGGCCAAAAACAGTTGTATATGAGTATTGAGGAAAGCTGTTAAATTCCCTCATAAACTTTATTTCAACTTATGATTTCCTGAAAGCATCATATTCCCATATAAAGAATCCTCAAAGCAAAATATACACAATGGACGAATGTATAGGAAGGAACAATGGAAAACTTTCTCTGTCAGACTTGCACAGTTTCTACTCACCAGGGTAAACTGAAAGTATTTTTCTGTGCAAACTGTTAGTATGGGCAGCAGCACATTCTGACCTACTGTCATGGCCAGTGCCACAGAATCAGCTGAACAAGCCACCATCCAAAGGGTAAGCATCATAATGAAGAAAGCCCCCACTGCTGGTTTCAAGCCTTCGAAAGGAGAGAAGAGATTAGTCCATCAGCCTGCATTGTTGTATGTTTGTGATGGTTTCTTGTGCAAACAGCATTACAACATTCTGAGAAACTAATACCAGAAAGTTTGAAAAAGTAACCAACTAACCAGGTATGCTATCTCACCAATTTTATTGTTCCTTGCATGTAAATGTAGAAACTTATCATAGAGTTTTCTTCTCACACTTACTCCAAAGGCACTTTTCCACATAGCACCTGTGTTCAAGTATATGTAATTACGAAAAATAGCTGATTCCTCAGATGGAGAGTTAGGAGCAACTAAATTGGTCTGAATTCTGCTGTCTTCTCTCATCAATGGCACATTCATTTAAGCAGACATTTCCACAGTGCTTGTTTTATACACTGCATGGGTGTAGAAACTAGGATCAGAATTACATAACCTCAGAGTAGTTTTAACATCTCCAAAAAAGGAGAGTGTTTCAATAATTTAAGACTCTAGGGAAAAAACACTACGAACTCTGCAGTGGAGAATAGCGCATTTAAGTTTCACAAACTACTTTGACAGCAATAATGATCTGTTGCTATAGGTTAAACAGCTGGAAGATTGGAAACAAATGCAATAATAGCAATCAAAACTCTATGTGTTTGTATAATATTCCTAATTTTTATGATATACACAACATTTATAAAATTAAAGGCTTAAGCTCTATTAGTGACTATATCTTCCTGTTGTATTACATAAAAGGTATTTCTCATTTGTGTGTATGTGTGCACACTCACACTTGTGCAATGAGTCAGTGGTCAATACTGAATACTGTATCAATGAATCTTTATACATCCATGAAACAAGTATGTCCATGAGTTCAATAAATCCCAAAGTCATCTTCTTTCTTTCATTGGACAATGGGAGGCAGAGAGAATACATGTGTATAATGAAATAGATATATATGTACATATAGGTATTTTTATAATTGAATACATGTAATGAGATATAGATTAAAAGATATTAATAGAGATATTTAATTTGTTACCTACCTATCTAAATTTTATTTTTACTATGATATATGTTGAGAGATATAGAAAAACTAAAAACAGTTATGGAATAAATATCCCAACTTTTCAAGATAGTCTCAAAAAATCTTATACATTCTTCCCATATTTGTTTATGACTCACAGTAAATGTGTGGCTTAATAAAATATAATTCTATAAATAGTTTCGAATTTTCAGTTGGAAAAAGTTTTGGAAAAATATTCACATTGAATAGGTATTTTAAAGGGTGCATGCCTGGTGATTACATGCTTACCTAGTTTGTTGCTTGGTCTGCAGTTTTGAGAATCATAAATATAATCACAAAATGAAATTGGCTTCACCTCACACACTGAAGATTAAAGACAGAATCTCTTTATTATGTTACTTACCTATCATGACGTATAGTACACAAGTAAAAATGAAACTTTGCAACAACCTCCTGGGTACCAAATCACACAACAGTTTTCCCAGGAAATAAGATGACACTCTGTAGTATCCACTCTTATACTCGTGTCTATAGGAGACAAACACAGAGTACACATCCCTGATGATTTAGTAAGGCACAAGCGAGCAGAGGAGACTCTTTCTCTACAGGTTTCTGTGTGCCATGACAGCTTCCCACACCCTCCACGCCCCCTCCCACTCTCCACGCTCTCAGATGCCAGCAGTGCTGGGCATCAGCCCAGGAGGCTCTCATTGGGGCCCTCTCTCACTGCAGAGCCCCTTCTGCTGTCACCCTCACTGTCCTCAGAACCCTCCCTGTGCACAGTCTGTGTCACCACTCTCCTCAGAGGCGTTGCTTCTGCTCTAATGCTGGCTCTTCATGAAGAGCAGGGCTCTTCTTGCCTCACTTCTGGCTACAAGGAAGGTGACATCACTATTCTCCAAGACCTCAAATGCAGCTGAAGATCATTATTCTGTTTTTACGTCTACTACCCCCAGTTAAAAAAAAAAAAAAAACTTCTTCTTTTAATAATTACACTTCTAACCTACACAGTCCTGTCAGCCACCAAATCCTAATCCTTCCTTCCTGACATCTTTCTCTCATAAAATCTCAACTCTTCCACTACTCTCTTCCTTGCTTCCTTCTATGATGATTCCTGTCCCTGGCATGTAAATAGGGGCAAAGCTTTTCCACCTATGAAAAACACAAGAAACCAAACCATTCTCCTCTACTGTAAAGCAGCCTGTTGGTTCTTTCCAGTGCCCCCACACACCTAGGGTTTAACTTGGTCACATTCTTTGTCATCTTTACCCTCCAACTCCAACTCACTGAGGGACCCACAGCTTAATCTCTTCTCAGCCCCTCAGCCTTAACCAAAGACATTTCAAGATCTTTACTACCACTGTCTCAGCATTTAGATTTGCTGAGCATGCTTTAAACTTGATACTCTTTTACCTGGGTATCAGTTCCTACACATTCTTGCTCTTCTCCCCTATCTGTGGCTGATTTTTTTCAACAAGTATTGGTAAATCCCATGAAAATTTAAAATCTCATGTTAAGAGATAAATATTTATAATTTGTAATTTTGAACTGAACAAAGAAATACATGAAAAAGAACTGGTAATCCTCATGCTGAATTCCTAGCCGTATTCTGGATGTAAGCATTTGTGCAACATCCTCTGATGCCCCAGACAGAGCCTTACTCACATAAAGAGAGTCTTCTCCTCCAGAAAGAGCGATATGGCAGTGAAGAAGCTAAAAATAAAGCAAACTATCACCATGTGGAACATCCAGACTCTGTCAGGATAAAGCAGAAAGGAAAAGCACCACAGTTACTTAAACACGCTTAGATCAGTTTTCTACTTAGAGGACATTTTCCAGAAATAATGTAATATTCTATTGATCATAAAATTTTGTTGTTTTTAATTCCCTTTAAAATAAAATGAGAGCCGCGCGCACCTTGTGCGGAGACAGCGAGCACCCCGGGAGCGGCAGGGCTGGTGGGTTCGAGCTTGTGCTGGACGCACACCACCACGATTCCCAGCTGAAACACGTGGAGAGGGCCAGGTACCTCCCATCTGATCCCTGAGGGTAGAACTCGCGAACAAAGACCCCGCAGACATTACAGACTGAGGTGCCGCAGCACAGAGACCCAGGGCACGGGCAGGGCGAGCAGGATCTCTGAGCCGGCGGAACAGGCTCCCCCAGCCCTGTGCGCCTTGCGCGGAGACAGCGAGCACCCCGGGAGCGGCAGGGCTGGTGGGTTCGAGTCTGTGCTTTGCCTTTCCCAAGACCCTCCAGCGAGTCAAAGGCTGGGGAAGTCTGTGACTGCTACCCATCTGGGCTGCATCTGCTTCCTGTATGAGTCCTGAACTGAGTAGAGACATAGATT